TTTGCAAGTCAGGTATGTATTAGATGCCTACAGGTTACAAAGTATAGCTGTTATTCAGAAGGGGCTATTGATTATTGCACATAATGAGTCACTTCATATAAAGAATTCTGTTCTGTTTTAGCAATAGCCCATCTAACTGGGCGCTGGACTGTGGTGGAGGTGCTATCTCTTCATGTGTGGACCCAGAGGAGCCTCAGTTGTTCTCCATCACCTCCTCTGTCACATTTATTGACATTCCTATCAACACCAGACCACCAAAAACCAGGTGCTTAATACAGCAGAAACAGTTTTTATACCAGATACAGATTAAAGGCCAATTAATAACTTCCTGTGTACTTTGTTTCTAACAAAGTGTTGCTTTGTTAATTAATTTTTCCCTTAGGTTTTACATAAACTTCACAGAATATGACTGTAACAGGAATGATGTGTGTTGGCCTGAACTCGCCTTTCCCATCACCAAGTATTACACAGGTGAGAATTTGTTAAATTCTAGAAACTGTGCAGTGTGCAGTGTTTTTACTCTTTCCTTTTGGACATTATTTAGTCAATTAGGAAGAGTCCTTACCCAGAGAATAATTCCTCTGTATTCTATTTGTGGTTTTAAAATAATTTTATCCATTGTTAGACCTAAAAGCTTAAACAAGGGCAACACAGGCTCTACTCCAAATTACAATGTAATATTCAGTGTAATTGTACCAAAATCAGTTCTAGATTAATAGGATTCTGGTTAAATGTATCTTTAAATGCATTAGTGAATAAAACTGATCCTGAGGTGGATAATAAAAAAAAAAAACTATCATGTGTTTCACTTTTTCCCCCTAGAAACATTTCTAAAAGTTTGGATTACTGAGACTACAGTCAGTGACCTACTTTCCCTTTATCCTTCACAGGCGAGCCATTTTCTCAGTCGCTGGCTAAGGGCATGATCTTGGTTTTCTTCTTTATCGTTGCCTCAGTTCTTGGCACCCCGTGGAGACAAATCAGACAGGCGTGGAACAACTCTGCTCACTAAAACTCAGTGATGGTTTAAAGTGTCACTGAGGATAATGACACCTTTCCCTAATAACATAGTAACTTACATGTTTATTCATATGATGGTTGTAGGAGTATAAACTGTTGTATTTGTGAACCTTTTTGCAATAAAAATATTTTTCTATTACTTTCTCGTGCATGGGACTTGATTCCTGGTTGTTGTTTTTTCAGATTTCAGTTGTTCTCACATGGCTCAGGGTCATCACCCAGAAGCAAAATATTATTTCAGCGTCACACAGACAGGCAACAGCTGTAACACAGTTACTGTTCCTTAGGATTATAGACCTGGGTTTAAAGTTATTTACTATCTTTTATAGTAAAAGTAATTTAAATTACCTCAAAGTTGATGTCACAGAGTGATACTGAAATAAATCACCAGTGCAATTTAAATTAAGAAGCAGGAATATTAATAAAAAAAGTATTTATTTGTGAGACAATGTGCTGACAGTGTTTATTAATGTGGTGTTTCATGCTGTAAGAGAGAATCATCAAATCATTACTCAATGCCGCCTACAGGCCGATATTTATTGCAGTCACAGATGTGCATCAGTCAGCGTTCTGTTGCTGTTTATTGCTGCAGTGTGCACTTTGTGATGAGATGTGTCTACGCAGCCACATCACTTCCGCTTTTGTTAATTTGTGTTTCCTTTCCATTTTGCACTATTTTATTTTTAGAGTAATTGTTCTTTTTTACACTCTTTTAGTCATCACACTTATTGAATCTACATTTTATTTATTTTTACACAAACTATTCTGTGTACTATCTTCAAATATCCACTAGATACACAGTGAAAATGGAACATAGTACAAATGAACCTCTGGCGTCTTCTTTACTGCTCTGAGTACACTAACAGCACAACAAAATGGAAACAGGGAAATTACACAAATGAACTCAAACAAAGGATTTGGGGCAATTAGGCTTCAGTTTGGGCTGTTAAATTACTACGTTATTCTTTTCATTTGTTTTTGGTGATATGGCTTGTACATACTCAGTGACAGCCAGTTACATGTACAGTGGGGCAAAAAAGTATTTAGTCAGCCACCGATTGTGCAAGTTCCCCCACCTAAAATGATGACAGAGGTCAGTAATTTGCACCAGAGGTACACTTCAACTGTGAGAGACAGAATGTAAAAAAAAAAATCCATGAATCCACATGGTAGGATTTGTAAAGAATTTATTCGTAAATCAGGGTGGAAAATAAGTATTTGGTCAATAACAAAAATACAACTCAATACTTTGTAACATAACCTTTGTTGGCAATAACAGAGGTCAAACGTTTACTATAGGTCTTTACCAGGTTTGCACACACAGTAGCTGGTATTTTGGCCCATTCCTCCATGCAGATCTTCTCGAGAGCAGTGATGTTTTGGGGCTGTCGCCGAGCAACACGGACTTTCAACTCCCGCCACAGATTTTCTATGGGGTTGAGGTCTGGAGACTGGCTAGGCCACTCCAGGACTTTCAAATGCTTCTTACGGAGCCACTCCTTTGTTGCCCGGGCGGTGTGTTTTGGATCATTGTCATGTTGGAAGACCCAGCCTCGTTTCATCTTCAAAGTTCTCACTGATGGAAGGAGGTTTTGGCTCAAAATCTCACGATACATGGCCCCATTCATTCTGTCCTTAACACGGATCAGTCGTCCTGTCCCCTTGGCAGAAAAACAGCCCCATAGCATGATGTTTCCACCCCCATGCTTCACAGTAGGTATGGTGTTCTTGGGATGCAACTCAGTATTCTTCTTCCTCCAAACACGACGAGTTGAGTTTATACCAAAAAGTTCTACTTTGGTTTCATCTGACCACATGACATTCTCCCAATCCTCTGCTGTATCATCCATGTGCTCTCTGGCAAACTTCAGACGGGCCTGGACATGCACTGGCTTCAGCAGCGGAACACGTCTGGCACTGCGGGATTTGATTCCCTGCCGTTGTAGTGTGTTACTGATGGTGACCTTTGTTACTTTGGTCCCAGCTCTCTGCAGGTCATTCACCAGGTCCCCCCGTGTGGTTCTGGGATCTTTGCTCACCGTTCTCATGATCATTTTGACCCCACGGGATGAGATCTTGCGTGGAGCCCCAGATCGAGGGAGATTATCAGTGGTCTTGTATGTCTTCCATTTTCTGATGATTGCTCCCACAGTTGATTTTTTCACACCAAGCTGCTTGCCTATTGTAGATTCACTCTTCCCAGTCTGGTGCAGGTCTACAATACTTTTCCTGGTGTCCTTCGAAAGCTCTTTGGTCTTGGCCGTGGCGGAGTTTGGAGTCTGACTGTTTGAGGCTGTGGACAGGTGTCTTTTATACAGATGATGAGTTCAAACAGGTGCCATTCATACAGGTAACGAGTGGGGGACAGAAAAGCTTCTTACAGAAGACGTTACAGGTCTGTGAGAGCCAGAGATTTTCCTTGTTTGAGGTGACCAAATACTTATTTTCCACCCTAATTTACGAATAAATTCTTTACAAATCCTACCATGTGGATTCATGGATTTTTTTTTCACATTCTGTCTCTCACAGTTGAAGTGTAGTGTGCATTGCACACCTACATCCTGGGAGCATGGGAGAGAGGTCGTACCTTGTTTTATTGTTTTATGGTAGGATAAACGTGGCTATATCTGTTTTAGGCTAAGTGCCTTTTGTTTAGATGAACTGTTGGACTTCCAGACCAGCAGGTTTAGGGAAGTCATTTATGGGGTCACACTCTGACCCCCCCCACACACACACACACACCAACGCACAGGCAAGGTACTTTTTGTTTGTATGTAGACGTCATATGTTAATGAACCTATGCATATTCATGTAATCTCAATAAAAGAGCAGTGTTACGGGGAGCGGACGAGAGCAACTGGGGTCGTGCAGGAGAAACATGAAGAACTTTGCCTACTTCGTGTCTTGCTTGCTGTGTAATTATATTGTCTTCAACGTTCCAGCGAATAGGTTCAAGCTACAAACCTATCACTAATATTTGCAGTTCACTTCAGCAGCGTCACAACCATGACTCCAAAATGGTTTTAGAAGAACCTAAATGATAAAATATAGATTTATTCTGTCTGTGCCATTTTTGCCCATTCTCTTTCTTACTTTAATCATGAACCCTGACCTTAACTGAGGCAAGTGAGACCTGCAGTCCTTTAGATGTCGGTCTGGGGTCTTTTTTGACCTCGTGAGTGTGTCATCAGCACGATCTTGGAGTAATTTTGGCAGGCCAGCCACTGCTGGAAAAGTTCAGCACTGTTCCATGTTTTCTCCATTTAGGGATAATGGCTTTCACTCACTTAAGTCTTACAAATGGCCTTGTAACACTTTGTAGACTGATAGATGTCAAGGACTTTGTTTCTCAGCTGTTTCTTTAGAACGTGGCATGATGTGTTGCTTTTTGAGGTCTTTTAGTGTACTTCACTTTGTCAGACAGTTGGTCTTTTTAAGTGATAACAGATTCTGCGGGTGTGGCAGTAATCAGGCATGACTATGGCTTTTTGCCACTGAATCTAGCTTTCAAAATATTGTGGTTAATCACAGTTAATTCACGATTTAACAAGTGAGGACAATTACTTTTCTCATATGGTGAGGTTTGGATTGGGTTTGGATTTTTTCACTTAATAAATAAAAGCATTATTTAAAAACTGCATTTTCTATTTACTTCATTTGTCTTTATTTATCAATATTAAAATGTGATGATCTGAAACATGTAAGTGTGAAAATTATGCAAAAATAGTAAGGAGGTGGAAAATACTTTGTCATTAATACTTTGTTATGTAAAAATGTCAACTTCCTCAGAAGTTTGAGTCTTTGCGTTTGGCTTTTTTTTTCAGTGGTGTAAACAACCTTCCATACACTTCTTGAAAGCATCCAATGAAAAATATCTAAGAGGTCGAAATTTTTGTCTCAGGTCATGAACCTTCAGTCAGCGTTCAGGGTTTAGCGTTATGTTGACTGTGTTGTGCGCAGACTCCAGGAGGCTGCCGTCATTGGTCAAAGGTACACTGGGTGCCGTGGAAGATGATCGCATTCAACAGTGTGAAGTGCAGTGACGTGAGTGTTACGGACGTAGGCTAAAACTTCGTAAAGTCTAAGAAGACTTTTCGCCACGTACTAGGATTTAGCGGTCGTAACACTTATTATTTCTTAGCTTCACATTCAACTTTACTGAAACATTTTTCCCCATCCAAGAGTCAACAACACGGCACTTGGCTAGCCAGTTAGCTAGCTAACAGCAATAGTGTGCTGTAACGATAGCTATGTAAATCAGGAGTTATGTAAGGGAAGTCTAGTTTTATCACCTGAGCCACATCATGACAAGGGCTACGGACTACTCGACTGAACATTGCTAACATAAAATCTGGAGAAACAGCACCGTTTAGCTTGCTAACATTAGCCCACCTGCGAAAGAGGGGAATATCAGATAGAACTGTCACGATGGCTTCTCTGCTCCGGGGTGAAGAGATGTGTTTGGCCCAGCTGTTTCTACAGTCTGGGTCCGCGTACGACTGCATCAATGAACTTGGAGAACTGGGGCTTGCAGAGTTCAGAGATGTAAGTACGAAAACAGACCGCTTTGAATCTGCTAGAAACAGTAATTCATCACTTAAAAAGTTGTAGCTGAACTTTTTGACAGTAATCTAAAAGTTCTCTACAGTCATCAAATAATGCAGTGACGTTTGCTCAGTACATAAAGTGAACGCGGAAGTTACCGGCATATGTCTTAATGCTACCATAAATGGGATCATACATAGACTTATTGCACAGTTTTTTAAGTTTATTCATGAGATATGTTCAGAGTCCTGCATGAGAAGGTGCTAACGAACATGTACTTTTCACCTGTTTCAGCTCAATCCCACTGTTAACGCATTCCAGAGAAAATATGTCAATGAGATCAAAAAATGTGAAGAAATGGAGAGGATCCTCGGTAAGCATATGTTAGTCTTTGACATTTTAATAGTTCTTGGCTGCTTATGGTGGGAAGAAGATCTCCTCACTGAAGGTAAATCGAGTCATGGGAAATGTCAGCTGGTTGTAGATTTAGTTGAATGCTTAACTCGGTTAACCAAACCCTGGATTATTAAATTAGGAAGAGAGTAGCACACTGTCAGACTTGTCTTCAATTTCAGTGTTTTTCAAAGGCTGGTCACGGTGTTTGGAAGCGGTTATGATAGTTTCATAAAGTTAAAAATCGCTTGTTGTTTATAACAGGATACCTTCTGAGGGAAATCAAGAAAGCAGATATTTCACTGCCAGAAACAGATGTGAACCCAGCAGCTCCTTTACCCAAGCATGTCATGACTATAATGGTTAGTTACTTTCTTATTATTCTTTTTATCATAATCATCATTTTTAGTATTATTATTGCTGTCATGTATTGCTAAATATTACACGTTCCTATCGTTTCTCAGGAACAGCTACAGAGGCTAGAGGTGGAATTAGGTGAAGTCACCAGGAATAAGGAGAAGCTGCAGAGGAATCTGCTGGAGTTGACAGAGTACACACACATGCTGCGCATCACACGCAAGTTTGTCCAAAGAAATGCTGAGGTTAGTGTTTGTGTTGGCTCACCTCTTGAAAAACCCACATTCTCACTACAATGCCACATTGTTTTTCTTTCATGGCTCAGAAATTAGTGTGCTGGCTGATTTAATTTCAGTTGCCTTCTTTACCCTCCTGCGTCTTGTCTTCACTTATAGCGGGAGCCCTTGCAAGTACAGTATGAGGAGTTTCCCTTCCTGGAAAAAGACACATTGATGGACTACAGCAGCATGCAGAGGCTAGGAGCCAAACTGGGGTGAGGGATACAATTCTGTCAGCCTAATCAGTCAGCATTTTATTTATGTTATACAAAGTGAATGCTACACATGAATGAGGACAGATGCACATTTATTTTCTTTCTAAATAGTTTTCTGTTTCCTTTTCTGTCTGCCGCTGCTCTTCTTACTCACAGATGCACTTTATACTTAGAACACCCACAAACAAACAAGCTATTCACAAAATGCTCTGAAACTGTGAGGCAGCTGTGGCTTTTTGAAAGAACTGATTAATGAAGCAAAAATATATTTAGACTTTGTAAAAACAGAGAGATAGTGTGGTGGGGCACAGATTCAGTTGAATGTGTAGTGACAATGAGGGCTCAAAGAAAAGGTGGCTAAACTTACAGTGCTAGTGCAGTCAGGATGTACTTGGTGTCATTCGCTTTATATCGATACATTAAATTTTTATTTATATTTAATTAATTTAATTGATCTTGATAGAGGATGAGGTCTGACAGCTGCTCGTTTGTCTTTTGCAGTTTCATTTCTGGCCTTATTCAGAGGGTGAAGATCGAGGCGTTTGAGCGAATGCTTTGGAGAGTATGTAAAGGCTACACCATCCTTAGCTATGCTGAAGTCGAAGAGTATCTGGAAGATCCTGACACGGTAGGTTAAACATGATTTGGATTCCAATTTACTTGTGTTATATTTTGTTATGTTTTACGGTGTGACGTAAAAACATGAGACAGAAAGAAACAAAAGAAGCTTCCTTTTAAAATTTTGCCTGTATCTTTTTTCCTAACTAGGCTTGATTAAGGATATTTGACTTTGTACAACAAGTTAATGAACCAGGTTTATTGGATTTAAATCAAATTAACTGTAAGTTAGCTTTAATAGCACACTAAAAACTTTAGTACAAATTGATTTTAACATCTTTGTCCACATGTAATAATGAGAAAACATGCTTATATACCTAAGTAACTCTCCCGCTATGCACATTACTTTCATTTCATGGTAGAAATGGGAAATAAACTCCCGTCTCTTTTTCTGTCTCCCCCCTCCCTTGCTGTGTGCACACATGGTATTGATGTTGTTAAATATTACTGAGAACAAGTCCGTCTTGTTTTGCTGGAGATCAGAGGATGGAGGTGGGAGAGTATCGTAGAGAGTTGTGAATCATGGATTTGCTCCTCTTGGTGACCTGCATGTGTGGTTTGGCAAAGATTTGATGTAGGATGTCCTGACTTCCTGACACAACCTTCCCAGTTTATCCAGACTCGGGACCACCCAAAGCTTAAATCCCAGATTTGTTATGGGACAAAATAGTAGATGACTCTTTTGAAGCTCTTAAGTATTCTTTACTAGTTGTTGATATAAACAGTGAGTGCTGTGATGTTGTCTATTCATAGTGAGAGATACCACTAATCCACTTGGGAATTTCCTCTGCTTGACCAGAGGCATGACCTCACTAATGGAATGTCAGATGGATTTTTACTGATGGAAGATCGGAAAGGCGTGCTAGCGCTCATCACTAAACTCCACAAAAAGAGAGAGAGAGTCGTGCTTTTTCAAAAATTGGGGTTTTCAAGGTCAAAGAGCTTTCAGGTCATCAGCTGTATTTCCTCTCATTTTTTTTGGTAAACAACAGCTGATTGTACAAATGCATCTAAATCAGTTTTTTGTTTTCCTTAGATTTTTATGAAAGTTACATATATAAGTAAAACCTGAAATCCTTGTCATATTAAACTTGTATTTTTTGTGTCAGTGGTGTCTCCTTTATTTTTTTACACTTCCTTTTTCTGCAGGGTGAGCCTACCAAAAGTGTGGTGTTCCTGATTTCATACTGGGGAGACCAAATTGGTCAGAAAGTGAAAAAGATCTGTGACTGGTAAATATTTCACAGGACTCGTTAAAAGGCTGGCATCTGTTTTAGACTCTATGTCCAATAGTAGTAAGCTATAAATAATGGCATACTTTTTTCTCTCCACAGCTACCACTGTCACCTGTACCCCTATCCCAGTAACAACGAGGAGAGGGACAATGTTGTGGAAGGACTAAGAACTCGCATTCAGGACCTGAAAACTGTATGTCTGTTGTTTGCTTAATTATCTGATCATACAAGTGTTTAGTTAAGGACAGAAAAAGTTATTATGTGTGACAAGAGAATACTCTTTCTTTATGTTATACACACGATTTCTGCTTTGAACTTCTTTTCACGGTCAAAGAACAAAATGAAATGGTTGATCTGTTTTCTGAACGATTAACCTGGCTGTTGTTCTTGTTAGCCAGTGAGCAAAACTGCACAAACAGCTCAGCTCCTAACAAGAGCATTGCACTGTGAATCCTTTGGTAGCATTAACCCACTGTGACTGAAAGATGGAATTCCACTCAGCCGCTGTAGCACATGATCAACATGAGGCCTCAGCTGAAACTGTATACATGCCACTCTCTCTTTATCTCCCCACTGCTTTGTCTTTTGCCTGTTTTATAGCTTTTTCCTCTTATATTCACACACAAACACTCACAAAGGTCTAAATTTGAACATGTTGTTCTTTTTAAATGTCACATACATCATCTTAAAATAAAATAAAATGTTTTGTAACTTTTAATCTCTCTCTTTTAAAAAGAAATTCTTAATAATCTGAAGCTATACATCACACTAACAGTCGTGTTTACCTGTTACTGTATCCAGGTGCTTCATAGGACAGAAGACTACCTGAGACAGGTCCTGATCAAGGCTTCAGAATCTGTCTACATCTGGGTCGTCCAAGTCAAGAAGATGAAGGCCATCTACTATGTTCTGAACCTGTGTAGTTTTGATGTGACCAATAAGTGTTTGATTGCAGAGGTGTGGTGTCCTGTCAGTGACATTCCTGCACTGCGGAGAGCGCTAGAAGACGGATCGGTGAGGAACTTCAGCCTGACTGGAGGCTTTTCTGTTTATTTAACCTTTGCTGTTGTTTAAAGGGCTTGGTTTTATTATGATAAAAGCAAATGCTGTGTGAGGCATCAGTCTTTGCCCCACTTTATTTAAAGAAAAACACATTTTGCGTTGCTTGGGTACTGAGGGCTCACTATTGATTCATTTTGCAGGTTGAGAAGTGTAAAAGTGTGTATTTGTGAAAAAGAACTACAAAGATGTGTTATTGTTAATACATGTTTATGTATAGATTTTAAAATACATATAAAATATAAGTTATTTAGAGCTGGGGCACTTTATAGATCTAAAAACGGTACATTATACTGTCTGTACGGCTTTTTAAAAATGATTTAGAGTTCTGTATATATTTCTTATATGTACATTTGTGGAGAAAAGCTTCTTGTAACCTACTTACATGTTACATGTGTAACTTCCCATTGATGTTTCAGAGGAAAAGTGGAGCAACAGTTCCTTCCTTTGTTAATCGTATCCCCACAACTGACACTCCTCCCACCCTGATAAGGACCAACAAGTTTACCTCTGGATTTCAGAATATTGTAGACTCCTATGGAGTGGGCAGCTACAGGGAAGTAAACCCTGGTAAGTGAGATTTGTACCTGTCTGTCTAACACACACACACACACACACACACACACACACACACACACACACACACACACACACACACACACACACACACACACACACACACACACACCACAACAGTCACAGGCACCACACTAATGTACATCACCCACTTTATAATTCTGAATGTTTGAACGATTCTGTATTGAAAGTAAGAGCTGACGGCTACATCAGCACGCATTAAGCTAAGGGGGGCGGGTCCTGAGATACACTCTCTCAACTGACATGCCTATCAGTGAGAGCACAGGATACCAGTGATTGATACATTACACTAGGTGTCGGCAACCCTGGGCACGCGTGCCACAGTTGGCACGCAAAGGGTTAACTGATGGCACGACCATTTGCCCGGTGGGCCGATGGTGAGTTTTCATTTTTATGGGCGATGATTTTTTTTTTTTTTTGTAACGGTATAAACAATGAAAGGTGGTGGATTGGCCAGATGCTGGCCGTGTGTAAAAATAAGTCAGTTGTTTGGTGGTGGCATATGGCGGAGCTTCCCCAGTTCAGTAACATTAGCAAGTGGTGGAGGCCAGCAGGTGGATGAGGGAAAGGGGAGGCAGGAGGAGGAGAGACCTGAGGCGGCCGCCGGTCCGACTGTCAGGTGAACTGAACTTCAGGTAAGAAGTTATGACCTGCAGTCTATCTGGGTCAAATATAAACCAAGTTTAGGTGGAGTTTATTTTTCGTTGGGTTGACTTTTTACAGTCGGTTACAATAACTCGTACTGTGTATTAGCTAGCTATACAGCTGGGTGGGTGCTATGATGTTACTGATAGTAAACTTTATTTTATTCATAAGGTTAGTTAGTAGAGTTGCCAACCGTTGCGTAAAAAGACTGAATCGTCTTGTATTCAGAGAAAACATCACGCGTTTCGTGTTGAGCTGAAACAGTTTGTCCCGTACTTCAGCTAGAATGGAAAAAAGACACAAAGCTGGAGTTATTCTGTCGTTACGCTGCACAGCTGCCTCTTCTTCTCTCATCTCTCTTCTGTTTCTACTTCAATCATGAAACTGATCAATGATCAGCTGATCGGCTTTTCTCTCTTGTTTGTTTATCGCCCACTTTGCGCCAGAAAGAGGAAACCAGCGGATGTCGCGCTAAACAACAGCAGCACGTTTAAGCTTGATCAGCTGTTGTTAGAATTTATTTAATATTAATTTCTAGTATCAGCTGATGTTTGCTGGAGCCACAGCTGTAAAGCTGCTGGTCATGATATCGGTTTGGTTATCTGGTGAGAGGGAAACATGAAGATGAAACCAGGAGATGTCCTTACTGAATCATCAGAGCTGAACAGGTGATGGAGAAACAGGTTTACCTTTTAGGTGACATGAATGAGTTGAAGTTATGAACTGTTTCTGAGAGACAAATAACACCAGGATCCTTTTCTATGTAGCTGACAGCTGGTAACTGTGCAGGGGCGGGTCTAGCAAAGTTTTGCCAGGGGGCCAGGTAGGGCATTAACAGGGAGAGGGGGGCACAAAGAAATACTTTCTTATTCTCATTTAAAATGTCTGGCTGTTATTAAATAATTATCTGAAGCTTACAACCAAAGTTTTTATCTGACGTAAAATGTATAGAAATCATACATATACCAACAAGACTGTACATCACTGTCACAACAGCGTTTGTTTTCATTCAAAGGCTTTATGGCTTTAATACCTGGTGGGCCGGTCTTAGTCAAAATGCCCGGGCCGATTTTTTGTCCCAGTCCAGCCCTGGGCACGACACGCAGTGAATTAATCTGAGGTGCATTAAAAAATAAATGGACGGGCCAGCGGTGCACATCGCAAATAAGCTCACATAGAAACATTAGTTGTGCTGCTTCTTAATGACGGTATCTTAGCTAACAACCCCAACTACCAGATTCAACTTGTAATTGGCTAAAAATAACTTGATGAGAGGGATGTTGTTAGCGTTCCATGTTCCGAAACTTCAAAAGCTTCAGGAGCTTTCCGCTCAGCACAGCATCAGCACCACGGAAATACACGGATACATCCGTAGACTTGAGACAGAATTCACAATACGTTTTTGGGACTTTCAGGTGTTTGGACCAATGTTTTCTTTTCTGATCAAACCAGAAATCTTTAATGAGCAGCTGGATTTGTCTCGCATTAACCGGCCGAGTTAATGCCAGTTAATGCATCATCGAAATGCAGCTGATTGAAATGAAAACCTCGACTCTGTGGGGGTCAAAGTTTGCAGAACTACAAACGCAGCTGGAACCCACAGCTGTGCGTGTTCATGGAGCTTGCATTTTCACCTGCTGGACATCACTACCTGACAAGTTTAACTGTCTTCAGAACATTGCAGAGGCCTTATTGACAGTATTTGTTTCTACATATCTGTGTGAGCAGATTTTCTCTCACATGACTGTCCTCAGGTAGCTGTCTGAATGCTGGACACTCGGAGACCTGTGTCTGTGAGTGGGAGACCAGCGATCAGATTAACATGTGTATTAACAAACATGCCATATATCTACAAAGTTGTTCTATATAGTGTTTAACTGTTAATATAGAGCGTTATTAAATTTATTGCTAATGCAATCATATGGCACATTGACTTCTGAGGAAATTTTTAGATGGCACTCGTCATCAGAAAGGTTGCCTACCCCTGCATTACACTATTACCTAGGCAACCACAGCCTGAAATGGTCTGTGCGTGATAAGCAAATTGCTCCCTGTAACAATGCAGGCAACCTTCAGATTAGCTTTTTATGATATTTTAGCTATAGCATGATTTATCTTAACTTAGTATTAGTAGTTTTAGTAGCTATTTTTCTGTTACTTTATAATAAAAAGATTTAAAAAATCCAAATGAGTAATAATTATTAAAAAAAAAAAAAGGTTCCAATGATCCAAAAACCATTTAATAATAGTATAATAATGTATTTGTAATACTATAGTAACCTCATTATAATAAATATCTGTACTTTATCTAGATTAAAATTGGTAGTATGGTGATAATAATAGGGTAACATGCTCATAATTCTAGCATAATTAATATAGGTTAATTATTATAGGCTCCTATTAGACTAATATGTTTAAAATTGCACTAAAATTCTTGCAAGTCAAAGTTGATAACTATCATATTTTATTGCAGAAATGATTGTCCTTTATGAGTGAAACATACCCTTTTGTTTCAATGTTAATATTTATATGTGTAAAAATTGGTGGAAGAGTCACAAAATTATATGTATTTATGTGTATATATGATGTGACTTCTTATTTTGAAATGCAGTTTTTACAGGTGTTTCAGTATAAATGAGGCCTTCAAAACGGTTTGTTGTAGCTGCAGTGACATTACTTTACTATCAAGTTATTACATTACAGTTATATTAATACTAATGCCTTTGTTGTCCACCTTTGTACTATCGTATTTATTTTTAAAAAGCTTTAAATGATCATTCACTGTGCTTTTTTCCCCCTTCTGCTTATTTTTAGCTCCATTCACAATCATAACTTTCCCATTCTTGTTCGCTGTGATGTTTGGTGACCTTGGTCATGGCGTTCTCATGGCTCTGTTTGCTTTCTGGATGGTTTTGTATGAAAACCACCGCAAATTTAAAAACACCAGGAATGAGGCGAGTACTCCAAAGTTTTTTGAAAATGCCCTTTCTAAAGTTTATTTGTTTTGCATGGGTAAAAGCAGTCTCTCAGAAGTATAATTAAGTGATTTTAATGTGCACGTGCAGATCTTGAACACATTCTTCGAGGGGCGTTATATCATTCTGATGATGGGACTGTTCTCTATCTACACTGGGCTGATATACAATGACTGTTTCTCAAAATCTCTCAACATCTTTGGTTCTGGATGGAGTGTGTTTGCCATGTTTAAAGAAGAGTGGAAGTAAGTACCTTTTAATAAGAAGAACTTCATATAACAGGAAGTTTACAACTGTATCTTTAAAGATAAGATGAATATAAGATGAATTTTGTAAAATCAGTTTCACAATCACAGACACTACTACGGGTTTCATTTTTGTCCTACAGCAATAGTGTCCTCTGTAAGAATTGCCAGCTAACTTTGGATCCAACTATTCAAGGTGTTTTTAAAGGGCCGTACCCTCTGGGAATTGACCCGGTGAGTAGACAGTTTTAAGAGCTAGCTTAAAAATATGATATCATGTCATATATATACTGATCATGCATAACATTACGAACACTCACAGGTAGAGTGCATAACAGTGATTATCTCTTCATCGTTGGACCTGTTATGTTGGTGGGATACATTAGGGTGCAAGTGAACATTTTGCCATCAAAGTAAATGTGTTAGAAGCAGGAAAATGGGTAAGCATGAGGATATGAGATGACTGGGTCAGAGCATCTCCAAAAGTGCAGCTCCTGTGGGGCTTCCCCAGTCTGCAGTGGACAGTATCTATCAAATGTGGTCCGAGAAAGGAACAGTGAGAGCAACACAGTGTTAGGCAGTTGGTCATAATGTTATGCCTGATTGGAATAATGGATTTTATCATTACTTTTTATGGTTTGGTGGTTTATAACGTGATTCATCTTAATTTTTGATATTTTGCACTTGAATGTTTTTATTGACGTGTGAAATTTAAATCCTGTTATTTAAAAAGGTTAAAGAAAATCAGTCACCAGGATGTTGTTGATACAGTAAACTGGATCAATTCCTAACTGATTAAACTCATTAAAAGCAGTCAGTTTGCTTGATAACCAATTTCACTCATACATTATCAGCCACACATTCTTCAATAAAGCAATATTTCTGGTGTCAGGGTTGCTGTTATTGAATCACTTAGGTAAAAGTAACCTTATTAGACACGCAACAGTAATAGTCTTATAATCCTCATGTTGGTAATGTATCACAGTAATAAGCAGAGCTACTTATTCTGTTTGATCCAGTTAATCCCTGAAGTCACCAGTAATAACATGTCACCTTTCCTTTGTAAAGATTTGGAACTTGGCAACGAACCGGCTTACATTTCTTAACTCCTATAAGATGAAGATGTCAGTGATATTCGGGGTCATACACATGAGCTTTGGGGTAATCCTCAGCACCTACAATCATCTGTAAGTACTAGTTTACTGTTTTCATTACCCTGTGAAAGCCCTTAAGAGCCAGTATTTCGCTTTGGAACAAGTTGTCATTTTAGCTGCTGGAGCTGGGAAAGAATAGAGACGTGTGTTCGCTCTTGTAGACGGCGACAGAACCTTTAGTTTTCTTGGCAAAAAATGTTTATAACTTATGCATCTTTAAGCTTACGCAAATTACATGCTGGCAAACATAGAGATGGAAGAAAGTCTTGCAGTGTAAAAGGTTATTTCATGTATTGTAGGAGTATTTTCTGTGGGAGAGAATACCTCTGTCCTATGTAGACATTGAGCTGCACAAAAAAGCATGATGTCAGCTCCTTAAGTAACATGATATCGTTTTTAATAGTCTGCCTTCTTTTTGTTTGTCAAAAAAACAGATACTTCAGGAAGAAGTACAACCTGTACTTGGTGTTCATCCCTGAGCTCGTGTTTATGCTGAGTCTGTTTGGATACCTGGTGTTCATGATATTCTACAAGTGGCTCGCCTTCTCGTCTAAGGACTCCCAAAACGCTCCGAGCATTCTCATCCACTTCATAAACATGTTCATCATGCAGGATGATAGTTCATTGAAGCCCCTTTACCCAGGACAGGTAAGCAGCTCCACTCTTTCAGCTGTGTGTTTACGTGCTTAATGAACACATTCAGTCTAATGTTATTTAAAATATCCCACAGAAGTCCCATACCTTCATTATTTAAATTATTTATTTTGGCTCTTCCAGAATGGTCTGCAGATATTTCTGGTGATCATTGCTGTTCTCTCGGTGCCTGTTTTACTCCTGGGGAAACCCATCTACCTTTATTGGCTAAAAAATGGAAGTCACCGCTTGGTAATGTACAGGGTAAGGGTTTGAGATTCATGCCTGCATTTAAAAGATGTGAAAAACGTCACCAAATATTTTTCCTTGGTGTAAATTTTCAAACACGCTTAGTTTGTCCGTTCGATTTTAGGGATATGAGCGTGTGCGACGCAGCAGTGATGAAGATCTCTGCCTGATGAGGGCTCATGACATGGAGGAGGGCAGCAGTCACAGTGATCTGTCTACTAGTGGAGATCACCATTCAGAGGAGGTCAGTGTTGCAAACAGCTTGGTACCTTTTCATCTCGTATTTGCTCATAAGCAAACATTTTTACCAGTTGCTACATTCATTTATCTTTTTTATACAATAGTTTGACTTTGCAGAGGAGATACTTCATCAGTCCATTCACACCATAGAGTATTGCCTGGGTTGCATCTCCAACACAGCCTCTTACCTAAGGCTCTGGGCTCTAAGCTTGGCACATGCCCGTAAGTACAAGATCATTAATAATTATTATGTGTTCTAAAACAAAGTGCTTCTTCACAATGTTACAATGGACTTTGCTCTTAATTGTTACTTAATTTTTCAGACTTTACTAGGTTAGTCAAGTATCAAGTTGTGGCCTCTATTCCAGTTCCAGTATTTCTCACATAACCTGTGTTTACATTGTCCACATTTGTCCTTTCTAACATGCAGAGAAAATGATTAAATATGCAGGCTATGAGATGGCCACTCACTAGCAGTACATTCAGCAGAATATTAGCTGCCTTGTTTCATTTGTTGTCAGAAGCTTGCATGCACTCTTCATGGGCATGAAAGGCATTGTCATTTTTGGCTGTTAATGATTTCTTTGAACTCTAATCTTTTTCAAGGTTTCATAATTGTACAGGATACATTTTTAAGGACTTAAAAAAAACAAGAATAGTTTTGAATGGTTTGAATAGTTTGGCTAATCACACAGGGTCAAAAGTATACGCAGAGGCTTAAATATATACCTACGTCGCCACTAATGTTTGGTTAAATGTCCTTAAGGAAGCTGCGACTCAGTCAGAGGCTTTTTGTAGCCGTCAACAAAGTTCTGGTGTAAATCTGGCAGAATATTTGACACTTCTTGGCAGAACTGGTGGAATTCATTTAAACGGGTCGGTTTCCTGGACAGAGCTGGCTTTTAAGCATAGTCCACAAATTTTCTATAGTGTTGAGGTCGGGGCTTTGGGAAGACCATTCCAGCAGCTTTATGTTAGGCTGTTTTATCAATTCCAAAACAAGTTTTGCTGTTTGCTTGGGATTATTGACCTGTTGGAACACTTATTGGTGTCCAGGTTCACCACCCATGACCATGACATTAATGTCCATGATGAGTGAGTGTAAAAAAATTTTCTTGACCTGTGATTTGCCAGAATTTTGTATTTCTCTAAATGGATGCTGAAGTAGATTTTATTATTTGCCATCACAGAGCTGTCAGAGGTGCTGTGGGCCATGGTCATGCGAATAGGACTAAGAATGGACACAAAACTTGGGGTTGTAGTCCTGGTGCCATTGTTTGGCCTGTTTGCTGTCCTCACTGTGTCCATCCTCTTGGTAATGGAGGGTCTCTCTGCGTTCCTTCATGCTCTTCGGCTACACTGGTAAGACAAAGCACTAAAGTACTGTGTGTGATAGGATCAATATGTTCTGAAGTATCTGTTTTCGTGTTTATAATTTTGGTTTCTCATCTTTTTATCCACAGGGTGGAGTTTCAGAATAAATTCTACAGTGGGACTGGCGTCAAGTTTTGCCCGTTTTCCTTTTCTCTCCTACCATCTTGCTTTGAGCAGGATGGGTTACTGTGAAGTGACTATTGAGAAATTGTCTTAGTTGGTAACCAGAACCAAAACAAGCCAACAGGGTTCTGTACTTGTGAAGACCTTTTCCAGAGGTATGATCAAATAGTTTGGATATTTATTCTCATTTTTTATTATTTACATTTCATGTAAAGAAATTTATGGCGAGATTCAGAAATTCGTGTAACTTTCGATTCTTTTGTGTCAGGATCATTAAGTTTCACTGCAGAGTGTTTTTCGGGTGAAATGTTAGCCTCAGATTTAACATGCAACTCATCAAATTTTTATAAGGTACAATTGTTAATGGTCATTGATGTCACTTGCATGGAGAGACAAATCTTCCAAATGCAGGATCAATATAGGAAAATGTAATGTATAAAATTTTAGTATTAGCCGACATTAGCAGTAATAAGAAAGCGAAGGGCCGTAACATTTGGCTACTTAGAAAACACCTTTGGGATAAATATGTTGGTAGTTTTGACCTTACTGTGGACATTTGTGATCTAATAAGATGGAAGTTTATTTATCACTTTGTGTTTCCTCATTTTCTTCTTCTTTAACAAGCTTTTGTCATTCATTTCAGCATCCTGGTTTATGTGTTTATATTAACTTTTTTTCCCCAAGGCGTTTTTGTTTTGGCAGATTTGGTTTCCACACAGTAGAGAGTGAGCCAACCTCTCATTTACATTGCTCGACTTTATTGCACTGACTGCCTTACCAAAATTACCACCTCACGACAGCATAATGTATCATCCTTAATGCCCAGCTTGTAGTACCAAAACAAAGCAAAGGATCCCTGACTTTTAACTTTTGAAAAGTGCTTGAGCAGGTGTGTGAAGGGATGTAAATACTTTTACAGATTAAACAAAAAAAAATTACATATATATTTTGTAATGTATCAGAATTGCAGATGAATGTTAAGGAATGTGATTATTACTTTCATGCATTCACAGTGTTGCCTTGGCACCTACTACTTACTGTATAGCTTAACATTCCTACCATGGAAAAGCTCACATCCTTTGACTCAGCTCTGCTGGTCACGAGCCTTTTACTTTCAAACATCCTTTGATGGGTGAAGATTGGAGGTATTGTACTCGTGCCAGGCACTAGTGTTTGCTTATTTTCTAAAAGTGTACTGTTTAGGATTGGTATTGGAGTTGGTAAAGGGAAGTTCTGTCAGTATGTTTTTCTTTTTCTTTTCAGTGGTTCATTGTAATGTCAAATCTTTGAGACAGAATTAGCAATCTTTGTTTTGTTGAATCAAATTGTTTCATTATTAATTGATTCGTTAAAGCTAAATTGTTAAAATATAGATTGAAGGTGTATTGTAATTTCTTATGATGCTACCCTTTTAATATCATGTATTTTCTGATCATACACTTCAGGTTCTAACTCTTTTACAACAAATGTCTGTTCTTTCTTAATGTCAATAAAATGTATTTGAGGTTTTTTTTTTTTCCCTCTTCAAGCCCTTAAATGTCTTCCCTCCTTGGGTTTATACAAGCCTTACTGAAGGGATTCTGTCAGGTCAAGTTTCACATCCATGAGTTTTATGTAATGTGGTTACAGATCAAGGTATTGTGGCACTAACACCACTGACGTGGACCCGTGGTTGGTGTGGTTCAATAGGTAGCCTTTAGGGTCTTTACTCTTTTTTTGTTTGTTTTTTTCACCACAAAGGAATAACGGGCGGATAGAATATTGTCGTCATTTGTGTGCATTTTCACTATTTTGCTATATAGACCAGAAATTGAAATTGACCCTTACAGTCAAAGCTCCGGGAAATAATGCCTCTCACCATGTACGCCACGAGACGTTTGGTTGCCGAGGCAACGCAAAACACCGTTTACGGTGAGTTTCAGAGCTCGAAATCGTTGCTGACATGATGACGTTAACTAATGGTAAATAGGTGGATAAAATATTGTGGAAAAATATGGTGCACGACGATTTACGAGTGGAGTGGATCCGACAGCGGGTGTCTGCTGGGTTTAATTTAAGGAAATGTCCCGACTGTTTCGATGAACTGCTCAGTCGGAGAGATGGAGAAGAAGAAGAGAAAATTATCCGTTATTTGAACTTCGTCTCCGAGGAAGACTCTCCATCGTGTCTTCTGTTTTTCAAAACTTTTAGAGAGGAAGAACGTGAAGTAGAAGTTCCCGTCGGTAAGTCCTGGTGCTTGTGCCCTCACTATGGCTATCAGTCACCCGCAGGTCAGAAAGCCCAGTGTCTCTGAAAGCTAATGCAAGTTTGCAAAAGTGAATAAAGTTTCGATGAACCCGTATCCTTTTACTGTATTGCTTTTGGGTTAATGTAGGATGTTTTTACTGGTACCTTTGACCATGTTTCAGCATACTCTCAGAAAGTTTATTACTTATGTAATTTAACAACGCTGTGGACATTTGGACCGCAAGACAACATCTAACAATAATGTTTACATTACCAGAAAAGAAAACTGGAGATCCTGAGCCAGGTGGGGCAGAGAACACCACCGACTTCATTACAAATGATGATAGGGAAAGTCATGTGAGATCAAACTTTAAAACTGATATAATTATTAATGCATTATTGATTGAGAGGCTCAAGATAGTTAAGAAGGTTTAACATATTTCTGGTTTGGTGATTTCAGAGGACTGAGATAAATCTGGTCTATCACACTGAGCTTCACGTAGCTGTCAACCAGTACCCACAGAGATTTCTGAAATCTTGTGTCTTCTACTTTCTCAGGAACACAAAGGGTGAGATGCCAGTTCCTCATCGTCATACTTAAACATGTTCAAGCCTACAGGATTCTTGTTTATCTTATTTACTCTCTTTAGGGGTCACCACCCTGGATCACCTGGCTCCATTTCCCCCTATCCCTAGCATCTTCGTCTGTCACACCAACCCTCTGCACATCCTCCTTCACTCCATCCACTCCATCCTCCTTCACTTTTTGCTCTTTTCCCTCTTCCTGTCAGCTCCATATTTGACATCCTTTTCAGATTAAATCCACTATTCACTCTTCAAATTCATTCTTCTGCACATGTCCAAACCATCTGAGTTTTGCTTCTCTAACTTTATTTATCCTTCTGATGTACTTATTTCTAATCTTGTCACTTCTAATGTTCCATATAAAAAAGCAATAAACAAGATACTGTGTTGTTGTATTATAAAACAGAGACTATTGTTGAACCACTGGACATGAATGAGGTCAATATCATGATGCCCTCGCTGTTTGACATCGGCATGCATTGTGGAAACCCTCTTCAGGTGCTGCAAAGCAAACTTGCCCATGTAAGAAAAATACGAAATACAACTGATCAGGAGCAACTTTTGTTAGTAGGACTGAAAGTTGATGTCACAGCAGCATACTAGCTTTTAATCTTATTATTGTATATGGAAAAACATCAGATTTTCTAATGAATATTTGACTGCATCTCCTCTCAGGTCTATATACCCATGCTTACTGCCAACCAAATGGCAGTAGCTGGAGCAGGTGATCAAAGTGAGGAAGTTTCTCATCAGGAGAAGATGCATGGGAAGAGTGAAGCAAATGAAACAAAGAGTTTAGTGAAGCCAAGTGGGCAATTTATTATTCGTGATGAGTTGCTCAACATAACGCATAAACATTTGGGACTGCTGAACACGACTCTCCAACACCTTCAGCTTGAAGGTTTGTTTAATTACTTGAACCAAGGGCTTGCTATTGTTAAAGGCAAAAACTCACCATGATTTTTAATTTTTATTAGAGTATATAGATTTGCAAGCAAATGCTTTTTCTTGTCTTAGTTTCCAAGCAAAAGTATTGACTAGTACTGATAAATGTTTACAGGACATTAGTTAGTTTTTATGCCCATTCACAAAAAGTGATTCAGTCTAAAAGCATTCTACATGTCACAGATGGGATTTTACTGCACATTCCTGAGCTGGAGTTGGAAGACCTGCCTTCGAATCTAGAGATGGTAGAAAGCTTGGAGCAGTGCTTGATGAACTGGCAAACGCAAATAACCATTGTTATTGAGGAGCAGAAAAACAAAAAACCACAGGTTTGTAATTGTAATTTCGTGTTCTGAGATTCAGTCCAGGAACTAAAGCAGGAGAAATAATTTTTCTGCTAAATTTATGCAATATTGTCAAGAATTTAAGAAATACCCATCGACCTAAAAGGAAAACTTTCAGTTAAAGAATGTCTCAACTGCACCTGGTGACATGCAGTCGCTAGACTCAATCATTCACTCTCCATTTTCCTCCAGGCGCCTGGTCCTTTGGCTGAGATAGCACTTTGGCAGGAACGTGCGTCTGTCCTTAATGCTCTGAGTGAACAGCTTAATCATCCTGCAGTAGGGAAGATCGTGGAGGTGATGACCAAAGCAGGTGCAGGCATTGTTCTTACACTGGAGGGAGCGATTGCTGAACTTACTAAATACCGTTTGGAGTCAGATGAGAATTTACGCTTCCTCAAGACACTAGAAAGGCATTTCATGGTAAGAACATTATTGCTGACTATACAAAAAAAGGTAGTTACATGAAACTAAAAGGTTCCATGAATCTATAAATTTTTTGCAAGGACAAAAGGAAAAGCAATCAAAAGAATGATTGTGGATCTGTTGTGTTAACTTCTCCTTCACTTTTATCAAAGCTACCATTGTCTGTTTCAGAATCTGGCTACTGGAGCAAATTTTGGTGTGATCTTGGAGACCATCCCTCCTTTAATGGAGAGCCTGCAAATTGTATGGATGATCTCCTACCACTATAACACGAACGATTGTATGGTCCCCTTAATGGAGCGAATTGCCTGGCAGCTGTGTGAACGTGTGACTCAAGCCATAGATGTCCACACGCTGTTCAAGTATATGTGGATCCATTTACATATTCTGAGACTTTTTAATTTATAGTAAAAGGAAATTTATTGTTCAGTAGTCAAACAGAATCATTTATTCAAATGTGATGTTTTCTTGTGTCAGTATAACAGTGTGTTGTGCCTTAAACAGAAACAACAGGGGAGTTGCCAAATCCAAGGTCTACGAAGCTAAGCAGGTTTTAAGTCAGTGGAAGACATCCTACTTTGA